ATGCTTGGGATGGGCTGGGTTTGGGTTGTTTCGACTGGCGATGTTGGGTTCCGTAGGGATGGTGCGGATAGCCAGGCCTAGTTTGATTAGGGCGAGATATTGAAGGCGCCAGAGACATTTCAGGACAAGCGGAAAAAGCATAGCTGGGTGAGCAGGGAAGTCTTGTCTTGGGAGGGGGTCGATCCGGCAAGGACCGTCTAAAACACCACCAAGCGAACGCACGCTCATGTTCTGAGCGTAAAGACGCGTAGACAAGACTGGACTCGAAAAGGCCAAGACAGATGCATGGCCAGAGAGCTTGGGAACCAAGGGAGCGGAACGGGACCGGGCGCGACGGCGAAGGCGACGGATGACTGTACTCGACTGGCTGTGAAGGCATCAAGCACAAGTTGGTCGAAGCCATGCGCCGCCCATGGGGACCCGGAGAAGGGCCACCATGTGTCCAGACTGTCGGATGGATCCGTGGAGAAGGCCATGTGACGGTCCAGGATTATTCGGATGGCAGGCCTCTCGTCCAGGAGCGAGGCAAGGCCATTGATTCTCTCCATCTTTCGCGCTCTCTCTCTCTCTCTCTCTCTCTCTCTCTATGTCTCTCTCCGTTTCCTAGGTTGAAATCCACTTGGTCTGGGGCTGTCATGGGTTTGAAGGCTGAAGCTGATGACTCGTGAGGTTGGGATCAGTTCAGCACGTCAGCAGCCGCAGCCGCAGCCGCAACCTAATGGTAGGTATGGGCGCCTCTTCACTCTTACACCCAGCTGGTCGGACGAAGCTTTGTGGCTTTAGGTCTCGGGGTTGGCGTTTGCCTGGGTAACTGCACCATAAAATTCTTGCATTGTCATCGGGTTGGAGCTGAAGCGGCCGAGAGGCCTAAGGGAAACAATCGGCGTGGTTCAATTTGCGTCTAGACCTCGAAGGGGAAGAAAACGACCGACGCGGGGCGGCAGCTAATTACTTGCCACGAGTAGATTGGCTTGGTGTTGGTTTGCGTTTCCTTTTTTTGCATATCGGCAGAATGAGATCTTCGCAGGCGCATCCCAAAGGTTGAAGACATGAAGAAGCAAGCAACAAACCAGTGACCACGAACGCAGACTTTGCTTGGTGTATCTGGTGCATCTGGTACATGGGAGAGCCAAGATTCTAGTCGGGTGAGGCGTGAGAGAAGCAGCCAAAGAGCCCAAAAAAAGAATCAAACGGAGGAGAGCAGGGAATGTGGCCTGGGGAAGATTAAGTGGCTTTTCTGTTTAAGCCCGATATGGAGTTATGGGGTCTTGAAGCGAAGGGCGGCGTAGGCGGGGACAACCCTCGAATCCCGCACCTGCCTCCTGCGACACTGGACACAATGGATGAGGAAAGGGCACTTGCCTCAGGCAGTGTAGGTACGAAGTACGGAGTAGACGTACCTTTGGTAAGGCAAGAGTCTGGAAGCCACAGGGGTTGCCAAGTCGCGCACCTGCACCTGCACTTGCACTTCACCTGCACTTACACCAAACCTAAGTGACCGGCGCGGCTGCACCTAGCCACGTCGCACTTTCCAGGAAAACACCACGATAATTTTTCTCTGGCATACTACCTAAGGTACAGAGTGATGCGCTCGGAGAAATGTGCATTGGCTGCTTGGCTCCATCATCTTATTGTGCATAAGGTTACTGGCGCTAGCCATGCACGCTGCTGCACGCTGCACTCTGCAAGGGCGACAGCACGCGGTTGGGGTTCAGCCGGAGAGAAGCTACCGCGGAACACCTGAGAAATAGCGTCCACGCCTTCTCCCTTGCCCATGGAAATGCACGTTTTCTTCTGAGGTACTTCGTAGGAAGTACACCATCGTGAGGGCATGAGGTGATGACGTCCATTCGGGAAGTTGGAGGGAGGCAGGGTGGCCCCTCGCTGGCTTCCTCGCCAAACTCACTTGGACACGAAGCCGCGACTATTGAATCTTAATCCTCGAACTTATCGTACAATTTGGGAAGGGAAGAATGATGAACGATGAGGCAGGCACGTCTGAGGCAAGCCACCTCATAGTACACCTTCCAATGCCAGTGACGTCCTGCCATCATCCTCGTCCCTCTTTCCCGGGTTTTCAACCTTGGGCGGGAGACCACTGACAAAGGCGGAGGAAGAGGAAAGAACGACTGTCCCTACCCTCCACTGCTACGAATACACGTGCTTGCCGGCCGGACGACGGTGCGCACCTTCCGCTGCCCTTCCATGAGGGGGGGTGGCAGGGTGGCGGCCCAAATCATCGGTTTCAACACGTTTTGGGGGCAGATGCGGTTGTTTGTTCGCGCCTTCCACCTATACTACCGGTCCTGCCTTCCAACTTCTTGCCTCCAGTGCACTTACCCCGCCATTGAACATCACCACGAGGCTTCGCTCCGGTCTTCGTGGCGGATAAGCAGCCTTAGGTTTTCAGCTTCTCACCGACTTGTGTCCCCGTGCCTCTTCTTTTTTCCATAATCATCATCACCGCCTGTTTGCCTCGAGTTTGTCGCCATGTGAGGTGCCGTCTCATTACGGATGCGTCTCTCATAAATACCATGAGCAAGCAACAACAGCCACACCACGTCAGGCCCAGCTGAGATAACCCTTTCTTTCTTTTTTCACACAGCTTGTTCCACCAAACCACGAAAACACAAATGGAGCATTGATAGATCTCAAACATTGGCTTCACATTGGCACTCGGCTGCATCGTGACAGACGCCCCCAAAGGCTCACATCTCGTACGACGCGCTGCCTACCGTACGCCGACACCCTCATTGCATTTCTGCACTTGGTCGTTCTTGTCTTCATCCCACGGCACTTCAACTTCCGAGTCATCGCTTTCCTTGCAGGCTGCAGCCGTCGCGTCCCGGATGCAACTCTGCAAACCAACCTAGGGCGCATAAAGAGCAATTTTGCACACAGACTAATTAGTCAGTCATCATTCGTCGGATGTTTTCTTCATCCCAAGGTCTGTTCGTCACAGTACGGATACTCCCTTCTGCGTCGTCCCATCTCACATGGCCATCCCTTTGCTTGGCTGCAGTCACTTCAGTAGTCTCCCGTAGTCTCATGTCGGGAACCACGGCCCATCACATTGATCACACACTTTCTCTACGTGCCCTCAGGTTTGGTTTCTTTTTTCCACCATGTGTGTTTGTACTTACTAATTCGCGCAAGCGTGACGCCAATGTAAGGTACCAACGGCACTCATCCCCCCTTGACACAAACAAACTTCCCATCAACCATTTATCTTTGTCTTTATTCTCACCATCAGCCGTTTCCCTCAGACTCGGAGAAGAACTGAGAGGCTATCTTAGTCGGAACATGATCGAGTGGCCCTGTTTAGGCAGTTCGCTCGGGTACACTGACAGATTGAAAATGCGGCTACCCAGCTTGGGCAGACTACGAATGAGGCCTGCCTCTTTTCGGCCAATATTCCGAAGCCACGCCGATTCAGCGTCCGGTGAAGCTTCCAAAGTGCCGGCAGTCGCGCCATTTCCGCCGTCTTTACCACCCTGGCGGAGAGGCTGATACAGCGACCACAGCGACCACTGTCGTGTCTTCCATAATCAATGAAGGACTTTTTTCGCGACTTCACGCAGGTCCAGCAAATTCATGGCAACGGCCATTTTGCAACTCCGATCAACATTTTGTCCGCCCCTTTTCTTCTCACCCTGGTCTCCGTTCATTTCGAGGGTCCCTTCTTGATGCTTCGTAGATCGGCAAGTCGCCGTCAGTTTGGAGGCACTCAATCTCATCAGCTTTATCCCAAGGACCTTCAGAAGGCCAAGATGTCGCAAGGTGTTCCGACTTCATTCGCGAACATGACGGCGCGTAACCTGGCAGTGCCTCGAGCGTTTCAGTTCGCTTGACATTGTCGGCCATCTCTCAAGTGACAAGATGGATCATTTACCCTGGTCCCGAATTCTCGGGATTGGCTTTGATCTCATGGGGCCACGTCGAGAACTGCCGCACGTCGCATCCCACATGGCAAGTTGCGGCTCACGAGGCTTCAAACCTTTACAAAATGTGTACGGAACGGCACCGGCGGTGAGGCGTTCTTCTACTCGAGCCATCTCAAAAGCCATTCCAGCTGGATGTGTTTCAGATCTACAGAGCGGTCTGCCAAGCCATCTTCTGGTCATAGCCACGCTTTGCAGGTGCCAAAAATCGTGGCCAAGGAGGATGCCGTCGCCGCCACCACATCCGTGTGTTTTCTCTTGTTGTCTTTTTTTATCTTCTGCGAGCCGGTCCCCGAGCGCCTATTGTTTACCACGTCGATCATAACGCCACACTCGGTGGCGTCGTAGCTCTCTTCTATCTCGGATCTCAGAAGCCTCGAACCAATCGTTCAGGGTCGACCGTCTCTCCCGTGCGGCTCTTAACGCCTCACTCCTTCATCTCAAGTTGGGACGAGAATTTGATGCTAGTTCATCTTGATTTTCCTGTACCACGTTGTTGCTCCACTCAACGCCCCTGACTTCTCAGCTCGTCACAGCAACAAGTCTACGACTCAACTCCGAACCGCTACGGAGACCCTTACTTGAAAGGGTTATTACGGAGTACTAGATACGCTATTTCATCAGCTCCATTACTTTGTTCTTATTCATCCTGCGATCAACCAGTCAAGCACGGTTCTCAGGTGGTGCCAAACCACTTAAGCATGAATTACATTCTGTTGCCCCCGCAGAAAGTGCCGCAGTGGATTCACGAGTCAGGGATGGTCTGCGACGGGGGCGAACCCTTCTTGCAGACAACACCTAAGAATACGAGTAGCTGAACGTTAGCGGCCTCGGCAATGTGACGCCGTGACCAGTCTCCACCATGAAGATGAAAAAAGATTGAGGCGTCTGAAGTTTGCCGGTCGGTATTCACCACGCTCAATTTCCTCTCCCGCATCTTCGACATCACTGTAATCAGACGACCAATCAACATCCGCCACCTCAACTTTAGGTCGTGATATTGGTGGACTGCGTACGATCTGTGTGTATTGAGACCACTCATCGCGACTGAGGCCGGGAATGCTCGCACGCCTTGGTCTGGTAGGGCTTGTGGCCACCTGTGCCTCAGGGGCCTATGTGCAATGGCAGGGCTGTGGTGGTCATTCAAGCAAGACAGATGTCTTCGTTCCCCAGAGTCTGCGAGCCACTTTGGAGCCGTCAGACGATGGGCGCCAGAACCAGCTGACACTCCAGGTCGGGAGATGGATGGAAGAAGCGGAATGCCAGGATCTGGCTCGAAGGATGCCCTATGCAACACTGGAATTCGAAATGCTAGGCCGTTCTGCTGCGTATCAAACCACAACCAAGACAACATGTGAAAAGCTCAACTTTTCCAAGAATTGGCGCTCGTCACTGGTCAACCCCTTCAGCCTTCATTTGTCTATTTCGGAAGATATCGGCCATCTGCCACCGTTGTCAACGTTCCATACGACTTTGCACCTCGAGGGAAATGACTCGGAGGAGATCAGCTGTCATCAAGCAAATATCACTCCAGCACTAAGTTCAACCGTCACCGCAATCGTCACTTACTCGACATGGACCATCTTTATCTTTGTGCTCCTTGTCGGTATTTTACGCTCTACCTACAGCACACCGATTGCGCTAGACGATGAGGATGGCGAAGAGCAACGCTCGATACGGACTGTCCTACCGAACGTAGGGGATTGTCTCCAGTACCTTCAGTTCATCTTCTTGACCGGCGGGCTCAGTTTGCGGTATCCTGGATTCTACCAGCCGGTAGTCAGTCACCTCAACTTGTTTTCCCTCTTTGTCAACGGCCCAGTCACCCACGGCGTGGTGTATGACAGGGTCGAAGACGGCATCTACGTATTGAATGGCACATACGGCGGCACGTATGGCCTGGAACTCATGACCCAGATCGCAGGTGCACCAATGACCATGGACACTTGGTTGAACATGGTCGTTCTCATGTTCATCATCGCCTTTGGTGTCGCTTTGGTCCTTGAGGTCGTCTGGTTTATGAAGCGAAGTCATGACTTTGACAGCGAGTTTTCACGGTCGGCCGGCGGCATGAGATACACGGCTAGTCGTGTCTTGCGTGGTATCTTGTCGTATTTCATGTTTTCACTTGCAGCTTTGTCTTTCTATCAGCTCGATAACGCCTCGATCCTTCCCGCATACCATACATCAATGGCTGTCGCACTAATTCTTGCCATGATGGCCGCTTTTATTTGGCTTATCCGCAAAATTCCTACGCGCAGCCTAGGCGTCCTAGTTTTCGACAGCACTAAGCGTTATCGACAACTCCGTGCCGTGGACGATGCCCGCCGCCGGGATGGAACTTTCATTTTTGTCTTATTCGCCCTCACGTTTGTCCGCGGCGCCGCCGTTGGTGGCCTGCAGATTTCCGGGCCGGCTCAGTTGGCCGTCCTCGGTGCCTGCGAGCTCGTGCTCTTGGCTAGCATCGCCGGGTTTCAAGCATACTCGACTTTCTCCATTGGCAGCATTGCGGCGACCATTCGGCTTTGCAGCCTGATTTTCCTGGTTGCATTCCTACCCGGACTTGCGACACCGATCAGCGTCAAGAGTGCTATCGGATATCTACTTCTAGCTGTTCATGGCGGCATGCTACTACTTGGCTTCTTCGTTCCTACTCTCTGTGAGCTATCGAAACTTGTCAAGGGCTGGTGGACAGCACCGCGACCAGAGGTAAAACTTAGAATTCCATGTATTTAATAACTTTTCTAACACATGTTCTATAGATTTATGGCCTCCGCCAGCTCCGTCGACGCGAGGTGTCAAGAACCAATCTCGCTTCCATGTATACGTCCAGCATGCCAGACACATCGTATCCTGAGCCGAACGCTGTTGAATCACCCAACGCGGGCTATCTCCGGCCGACATATCGGTCGGATAGTCCCAGCACTATGCACCTAGCCTCTTCGACTACCTCTAGTCGATACTTCCGGCCACCGCGGTCCAGTGCGTCTATCTCGTCAGTCGAGAACCCACGCAGTCTCGGCTCCTCCTTGTACACTACCTCTACGCCTTCAAGAACGACATCGACTTCTACCACATTTATAGACAAGCACTCTGTTCAGCGATCCGAGTCAATCATGTCCCCCAGCCGGCTATCAGAGTCAACCGAGGAGGATTCCAGTTCGACATCCCAGAGATCACCCACAAGGCCCAGCGATGGGCCTCTCGGGCCACGTTGGAATGACTATTCCTTCCGTGAAGCAGATCTCTACTACAACGTACCTCGCCCGCCACCAGTAGAGCGGGCGTCGGAGGAGTTGCCCAGGCCACCGGCTCCGCGACCCTCCTTCCGGTCTTCGTCCGGGCTATGGGCAAGGGTAACTGGCCAATCTGGCACGGGGGAGCAGGGGTTTCAGGTTGTCCGACCTCGACCGGCCTCGGAACAGGGCTTCGTAGTTGTTCGACCCAACAGGCCAAGTAATCTCAGCAACGGTGCTCCAGGAGCTGCGCCCAGTGCGTTGCAGTGACTTGATTATCAACTCGATCACGAAGATTTTCCCGTCAATGTCAACAGTTAAATATTGCGACCTGTTTCGTATCATTGTAAATATAAAAGTTAATAGCATAATGCGGCGTTGGGGTGCATTGGTTTTCGGGCTGTCTGGCAATTCAATCGACTACTTGACTGAATCAAACTGTTCAAAACTTTTCAAAATTTTGACACACTTTTCCGCGGGATCGAAAGTACGAAGAAAGTCTAAACCCCCTTACACAAGCTTGACCATGGCATTCATCCCATCTTTACTTCCCTTTATTTCCCACCGATAGGCAGTTGCCTAATCCGATCCAGTGGGTCCCGTGGGGCGTCATGTGATTGGTCAGGACTAACTCATCCAAAACGACGACAACATGCCCTATATCGAGTCGATATTGAGCTACATATCAACAACATTTCGGGAGCTACCTTAGGTCAGATTCCTAACATCAGAATTATCACGTCAAATATATCATTATGAGAAAATTCAAGGAGGCCTGGTGCCTATGATTGCACGTGAGCTGACTACAACGGCTGCCTGAAGACCACAGAAATGGGATCCCGACTTTTCTATATCAAAGCTCTCCTGCGTCCGTACTACTAAGAAGACGAAAACTTCATAATACTTATTCTCTATTCTTCTCGACCTAAGGAGTGCCAAATACAAGAGAACCTTTGTACATTTGCTTCCCTGTGTACGCATCCCCAATATCCTTTGCCCCCCTCTTCGCGTCACCAACTTTGGTCGCCGTCACCAACACTTCAAGAACATACAACGGCAAACAGAAATGTCGTCCTCCACGCACCTCATCCCCGCCACCCCAAATACAGCATCCTTCCTAGCCGAGGCGCGCGCAGGCTTCACCGCAGACTTGGCCTCTCCACCGTCAACCGCCAGAGAACGACAGGAACTCTTGGCCTCGATCCAGGGTTTCGCGTTTCAATTTCTCAAAGCCGCCGCTCACGCCTCCCACTCCCATCTCGAAGTCGCTCAGACGGACGACAGTCCAAGAGGGGAGCGAGATGAGAGAGATAGTCATGCGGTAGAAGCAAACATGGATCCAGAAGCAGAGACAGACGATCTCGCCCGGCAAGGTCTCAATGTCCTATGGGGAATGTTCACGTCCACGGCGCAGGTAATCGACGCAGCCGACGCGTTTCACGATCGTCTCGTAGGTTTGCTGGCGTGGACGAGGGAGTTTGACGGGGCTTATAGACGGCTTCATGGTATCGTCGGGGGTATTGCTGGTGGTGGTGGTTGGGGGTCGTATGGATTCGGGCAGAGTCTACAGCTCGCGTGGGAGCAGCTCGTCACAGCAGACTTGCCGAGCGCGGCGGCGACGCGGAAAAGTCGGGATCTTGCGGCGTTTTCTGCGAGGGCGTTGGCGAGGGGGTTGTGTGGAGGGTCTGTTGCTGGGACTGCGTTTTGGGTTTTTGAGAGGGCTTTGGGGGGAAACGGGGATGGAGATGATGTTGTGTCGAGGGAGTTGATACCTGCAGTTGGAGTATGGTTGGAGCACGCGTCACATGCCCTCCTCGCGCGTTGCTGTCCTTCTCCCGCGGCAGCTGGGCTTGATCCTACCACTACCGCGGCAATGGATCCGATCTCGCGGGCCGACGGTCCTTCAACGGACCAAGTCACCGCAGAAACCCAGCGCGACGAGTTCAGCATGTCCAACTGGCTGCGCTGGCGACGCCGTCTCCAGGAGCTGAGTCACGATACCGATGCCGATGTGGCGAGGTTGGCGAAGAAAGGGTTCATGAGTATGATTTTCTGTGGGAGGGATTTGGGGGTTGAGGTGGATGGGGAGGCGAGGTTTGCGGAGAGGTTGCAGGGCGTTATGTATCGGGAGCTTGTGAGAAGTGGGAAGGGGGTCATGGAGGGGGAGGAAGTTGAGATTGAGGTGGATTGGGTTGACTGAGGTTTCTGGGTTTTTGGGTTTGAGGAGGGATGTAAGAGAGCGAATTGTGATGGTGGTCGGTTGTTGAACGAGTGTACTTTGGTGCTCTTGTGTGAATGTTGACTTATTGTATGTGCCCTGGTACCTTGACCTGATCATGACAAATGTCCCGTTTGGGGGATAAATCTTGTTACTTGATCATTGAAATTCATAATGATCATACTAAGAACCAACGCAAACAGTTGCTTACAGTAGTTATCAAATTCCCGGTTGTAGATGGTATACCAATACAACAAGCTTGATAGATGCGGACGGTTCATTGAGTTTGCTGCAAAAATAAGATGTTTTCTTGTCCAGATATCCCTGTGATCATAGTCTTGGAAGATGACATTGCTTTGACAAAATCAAGGCCACCGATAGACAGGTACAACTCTGAAAACCGGTATTTAGACACTTTTGTAGTATGGTCGAATAAACATTTCGAGCAACAAAGCTCTTCCAGCATTCTGGGGAAGCAAATGGTTTATCAAGGTGTGTGAAACAGCAATTGTCCGATGCTTTACTCAAGGCCGCTAGTTAGCATAATACTCCATCGCGCCCGTCTATAAGAGGTCACTGTTAAATTCACCAAGTGTTGTCGATGAAATTAGCCATGTTGATATCCAAGAAAAAAATGAGAAATCATCGACGCGTAGAAAAAGGTCATGTTCATAGCACATTACTATAAGTAGGTACACATTATACATTTAGAGTTTTAGTGGCGCTTGAGCGACCTTGACCTTGCGCGAGGCATTATTCTTAGCAAGTTAGCTGCTCTTGCACATGCGTCCATCGTTATCCACAGTCCAAGCCTCGCTACCGACAGCGGCCACGTTATACAGCAGACCCTTGGGGTCGTACTTGTTCTTGATGCCCAGCAGAGCCTCGTAGTTTACGCCGTAAAACGTCTCCTGCCAATCCTCCTGCTGGAAATCGGCCTCGTTGATGTACGCGCCCGCGCCCGGGGTAGCCGCCTCGATGACGGGCTGCACGACCTCGGTCATGCGCGTCTGCTCGGCCACCATGTCCTCGAAGGGCACCTCGAAGCTCCAGGGCAGGGTCAGGGAGACCTGGACGATGGAGTCGCGCCACTGGGGCAGGACGGCGTTGAACTTGGCGCTCTCGTCGGCGCCGTCGTGGCCAAAGTGCGAGACGTTGAGGCCGACGCCGATGTAGGTGACGCCCAGCTCGACCAGCTGCCGCGCGGTGGGGCCGAAGTCGGGGAGGACGGCGCGGGGCAGGAGACGGCCGCCGAAGAGCTGGGTGCCGACTTGGATGTTGCCGGAGGGTAAGGGGCCCCAGTAGTTGTTGTAGTGGTCGCGGTAGCTGTCGAAGGAGGTGAGGTTTGGCTGGAGGGTGATGTTGAGCTGGGCGAGGGAGTCGGTGAAGGGCTGGAGGATCTGTTCGACCTCGGCCTGGGTCTTGTTGTAGGCCGTCATGGCCGGGGACTGGAGGAAGCCCGGGCCGAAGAAGTAGATGATCATGACGCCCGAGTCGACGATGGCCGGGAGAGCGGCGTGGAAGGCGTCAATGACTTGGTACAGCGTCTCGTTGTCGGCGACGGTGACGGCGAACTTGGCACCGCTGACGGGGGCGTCGGGGTGGGCGCGGGTGGTGATGGAGGTGACGACGCCGTAGTTGCCGCCGCCGCCTCCGCTCAGGGCCCAGTACAGGTCTTCATTCTCTGCTCTCGAGGCCGTGAGGAGCTCTCCCGTCGGGGTGACGACCTCGAAGGAGAGGGTGTTGTCGGCGGCCAGGCCGTAGATGGTGCTAAGAGCAGAGTGGCCGCCGGCTTGAACATAGCCTCCAGCAATGCCAACGGTAGGACACTCTCCCGTAACGACGGCAAGCCCAGCTTCGTTGGCGGCGGCGATGGCCTCGAAGCCTTGCACGCCCGCGCCAGCCTTGAGGGCCTTGCCGGCGTAATGCTCATCATCCCAGTCCACGATCTCGGTTCCCTTCAGGTAGTGGGTCCAGATGGCCAGGGCACCGGCACCGGTCGACCGGCCGTTGTAGTCGTGACCCGTGTTCCGGATGATGAAACGCACATTCTTTTCATCCGCGAACTTGAGCGCGGCCTGGACGTCCGCGGGCCCAGAGGCGTTCACTGCGTAGCTGACATAGTTACCCAAGGTGCAAGGGACGTCTTGCGCCGTGAAAGGGTCGCAGCTGGCGTTGGCGAACAGGGGGGCCATAACCGAGGAGGAGGACTCCATGCTGCGAAGTTGGACGCGAGTCATTAGTCCTTGTCCATGATATCTCTCACACGCGCGGGACGCGGGTTTGGGTCACGCAACTCCTCAAAGAGGGAGGTGTGACTGCAAGCTGAATTTGAGCCGGAGGGAGGAAGAAAGCAAGCGAGAACGACTACGAGGTAGAAGAGACAGAGCGAGAATGGCAAACTCACTGGACTTCCGAATAGAGCCACGCCTCCTGAAGACGAGCGCACTCAGTCGCGTTGTAAGCATCGCCGTGACATGCGCTTCCCAGCGGGACGGTAGCGACCAGACGTCCCCCGACGGTCTCGTTGAGCTGCGCCCAGGTGTTCGCAGAGGGCCATCCCGCGTCTCCGGGCAGATACTTGCACGAAGGCGCCGTCGTCGACGAGTTTGTCGAGGAGCTGCCCAGGCCCGAGCACCTGGTGGCGACGGAAGCGCTTCCGCCGGCCAGGACCAAGGAAGCGAGGATCGAGACGCGCATCTTGGCAATGGGGGTAAGGTTATTTCGAGAGAGGAACGTGCTTTCTCTAGGCTAGGCTCTTAGCTTCCTCGCAGATCGCTGCACAGTCCGAGCAGTAAAAACTCAGAAAAGGAGGCGGAGGAAGGAGGATGTCGCGAGAGCGAAAAGGCGGAGAGGGGGTGAGAGGGGGCCAAAAGAGACACAAACCACTTTGGAAAAGTTTCACACGAGGCAGATGCTCTGATATTGTATATGCGACGCTGCCCAAAGTGGACTCTTTCTTCCCTTTGCTAAATTGCCTCAATCTGTATTGCCGTCTTGTCCACCGGGCAAAGATACAAGAGGGCGCAATATTCCCACTCAATGACCAGCACTTTCTGCGCGGTTTTGCACAATTCTGGACATGATCTCCGGGGGTTCGTCGGGGTAAACCGCTGCGCCCCCCGCAAGCCGGTGCCGTCTGCCGTTGGTCGGCTCATTTTTGCTGACGATTCGTACCTTGCATCCTCAATATGCAGGCGGGCCAGTCGTTGGAACCAACAACAAATTGCGGGCATACGCAGTAAAGCCGGGCACCATGGATACCATATAGTACTCCGTAAGAAGTGGGAAATCTCTGTCCCTCGGTCCGCCTAATCCTCGGTAAACCAGTCAAATGGAGAAATCCAAAAGCCGTGTTTCCGCTGCGAACCCTTGAACCAACGGTGTAAAACCGCACTTCTTCATCTTGGCGGTGGGAACCGCGCGCGGGGGGTGGTTTATGGTATTGAAGTGAACGGGCAAGGGTCGCGGCGCGGGGGACCCACATCCGGGGGTGGTCCGGCCTCCCGATTTGCCTCGCCGGGCTCGCCGCATCTCGGCACCCCTGCCCGCGCTTGACTCGTGAACGCCTGGGCGGGACGGACCTGGGTCATCCGCGAAACCTTAATCTCGAAGGACTGGGGTTTCTACAGGTTGAAAGCCCTCTGTAAAGATCAGATATCACAAAAGGCGGCCCTGTCGTTCATTTCGTTTTTTATGCCCTGCCGGTGCTTGTGAACCCCAGCTTCCTAGGGTGATTATTTTTTCTTCCCTCCCTCTCTGGTCGTATCGTCGTACGTGCAATGGATAGTAGGGCGGGAACACGGGCTTTCTTGGGGAACCGATTTAATCGATCATCGATCAGATGTTCCGTCCACTTGCCTAGGCCTTGAGCGGGCCAGGAAAAGCGAGGCGAAAGTTTGAAAATAGATGAGCGTGAGGGATACGAGCAGTGTCTTGGATGGTGTGTTTTGCATAGTCTCGCATCATTGCGAGGGTCTCACAGACACAAGATCTTGGGGGAGCCTGAACTTCTGGTGGCGGATGACAAACAGGGAGGAGAGATGGCCACCTCCCAGGCCCCCTCGAGAGTCGAGACACAGATCCAGGCAAGGTGTGATTTGTGCTGTCTGGCTCTATGACTGAGACATAACGCGCGCCGTTCGGCGAGCTCTTTGGAATTTGAAGCCTGATCTCCAGGAACAAAGCCATAGTCCAACAAGCCATCGCCGACGCTAAACTATGTCACACCCTGCCATAACGTCAGTACTCAGGACTTGTCGTCCCCGCATGGTGGCCACGAGCTTAAGCTCCTGCCTTCGCCGACTAGTGACTACGCATGCGGCAAACGCGCACGCAGATTGCACCGTCGAAACGACGCTGCTGCATCCTTCCCGCCCGGCTGGGTGTTCCCTTTGATCTTCGTAGGCGCCGCGCCGGTGAGCCTAGCGTATCCTTACAAAGTAAGGTACGAGATAGAGACAAGAGAAGGGGAGCTGGGGGGAAACTGGGTATTCGTCAATTACCGCCCCGGCACATGTGGAGAATTTGGAAAGCCCGAATCTCTTCAGCAAGCCACTCGCGCAATTTCGACGCCTCACACATGCAGTGCCGCAGCCGCAACGAAATGTGATGCAGCAAGGGTCTGCCACACCACTGGGTTCGGAGACGGGCTTTTATGAGTACGTGGAGAAAGAAGAAGGGCAAGCAGCAAAAAATGGACTTTACCTTCTCTTACTAGTGCGAGTATACCTGGTGTGAGCTGTCCTATACTTGTCTTTAAGGTCAGCGGTCCCAGATTTTGATAATTCGTCGTCCCCCGTCCTCCTTTCTACTGGGCTGTTTCCTTGCCGTCGTCAACCGAACTTCCCGGATCCAATCATGACTGGCTGGACGTACAATACGCCTGATGATGTACCGACCGATGGACCACGAATAACGGCAGTTTGCCTGACTTTTACCATCATTGCGCTCTTGTTGGTGTGTTTGCGGTGGTATGTTCGGACGACGCTGGTCAAGGCTGTTGGCTACGGTATGTGGGATCGGACTTGAAGGATGCCAGGCAGGGGTCTATCGCGCAGGGCAAAGACTAACAAAGCGAATCTCTAGATGACTGGGTGATCGTCGTCTCCTGGGTAAGTCAACATCAAAGTCTCGATCCCTTTTTGACAGTTTCTTTGAATCCTGACGAAAGCTTTTAGCTCGGGGCTTGCGGCTACACAGTCTGCAGTGTAATACGTAGGAATCCCTCTTTTGTTGAGCTAGTTACAGACTCAAATCTGACCGAAGTGTAGAGACAAAATGGGGCTTGGGAATCACCAGACTTGAGGACATGCCTCCGCAAAATGTGCTTCCCTTTGGCAAAGTAAGAAGACGTACAAGCCGTGGAATCTACTCAACATTTGCTAATTGTCATTCCGATAGCTTCAATTCATTGGCGGTCCATTGTAAGTATCTTCCAAACTACCCTTGCAGCGTACAACGTGAACTACAAATAAGTACGGACTCAGCTGACAATGCACCATCAGCTACGTCCTCGGCATCTGGGGCTTCAAGATGAGCCTGCTGTTCTCCTATCTGCGATTCTTCCCGGCCGGCGGCTACAAGATTGGCACCATCATCGTAGCGGTAGCTTGTACGATGGGACACATTGCCTTCATGTGCGTCTTCATCTTCCTGTGCACACCGGTACGTCTTTCTCAACATCTCCCCCTTCTGCCGAGGCCATGTGTCGACTAACACAGGGCAACGCGCGACCAGATTGAGAAGCAGTACGATCCATCGATCCCGGCAAACGAAGGCCACTGCGTAGACGCAATCACATTCTACCTAACTTTCTCATCCTTGACCATCGTATTTGACGTCATCATGTAAGTCCCAGATTCATCATCCACGCGTTGTATACACGTGCCTCCCGAGCCATTGTCGCTGATGACAGACTGCGAAAACACAGAATGTTCCTCCCCTTCCCCGTAATCCTCAAATCCCAAATCCAAAAACGCAAAAAGATCGTCCTCCTCGCACTCTTCATCCTCGGCATCTTCGTCACAATAATCCAAGCCATCCGAATCCAAACCATAAAAAACCTCGTAAACTACCTCGACTCGGCGAAATCGATCCAGTGGTCCGTCGTCGAGACCTGCATCGGCATCATCATCTCGTGCGTCCCGACGCTGGCGCCCATGGTGAAATACTTTGCCGAGCGGAGCCGCAACGCGGGCAGCACCACCGGCGGCGGCGGCGGCGCCTCGAGACCAAAGAGTTCAAAGTATGCGCTGCAGACGTGGGGGACGAGGAGGAGCGGGATGCAGCCGCTGGGCACGGGGATCGATAACCGGGACGCGGACGGGACGTCTGTGAGTGGCGGGAGTTTGACGACGAAGCCGGAGGATAGTACGGAGAACATACTCGATCCGGGCGGCGTTGTGTCCAAGGGGAGGACGCTGCATGCCGCGACGCCGAGTGAGCCCGAGTCGTGGACAGATTCGACGGATAAGGAGAGGAAGCAGGATGTTTGAGGACAGCATGTGAGGGAGGAGGACTGGAGGGAGATCACAGGGCATTTTTTCACATGATACCATTTTGAATTTCAAGGTGTTCAGAGCGAACTAGCAAGCGTGTTTTCTCGCATTATTCAAGTACCATAAAGAAATCAAAGGTAACATAAAACTTTTTGCAAAAAATGGTTCTCAATGACCCAGACGTCCTTTGCAAGCTCTCAGGTTTCGACGCGTTTCGTTTGCCTCATTCCTCATGATTTGGGCATGGCAGGCAACGCTATCAAACCATACCATCAGAAAGGAATAAAGCATGCCAGTTCCACTTATGCCCCGGTCACAAGCGACCCCTTGATCCGCATACGGGGAACAGGCCTTGATCTGTTCCGTTGCAACCATATCGCGATCCTCCACGATCGCAGGCGGAGACACGTATCGCAGGTGGCATATGCCATTGACCACCCGTACCTTGGTATACCCAAAGATTCAACTCCTTGCTTTGTGAAATATTGTACCGAGAAAATAAAGTCAATCTGATACACCTATAAGCTGGGGAGTCTTCAACTTCCCATCATTTAGGTAGATAGATTAAAGCCTACTGATGATAGACAGGTACTATCGCGGAAAGAATGTAGTTGGGATTAACCAACATGCTTAACAACAACTCCTCAAGAGCGACCACAGAGTACCAAAGCTTGGAATATTTTCTTCTTCAGAGCTTACTAAGATAGATTCAAACTAGGTAACACAGTAAAGATCCGCAGAAACTCAGAAAGTTGATTTATCAAGAGTCTTCTCTCCTTCTATGCCTCATTCAGATGAAAATGACTTACCAAAGCATCACTTTGAAAAGTTCACTATAGCATCGCATACTCTGTTTTTCACCTACTCCATGATGCTCTGTCACCACAAGCCTGCTCGGTGCTCTCGTTATGTCCCGTCACTGCAATCAATCACATCATCAGAGCTGCAAAACTTCTACCATGGACGGTCTGTGACATGAGCAAGATATGAGTAAAGACTTACGTCCATATGTCCGCATTACTGCACCAAACTTGGCTAATGAAGAAGATAATACGGGTGAAGTCTTCCGGTACACAATTGTCAATATCCTACTGAGCAACATCTCGACATCGAGTATGAGGGCCTATGCGGTACCATTCTTGAAAGCCTAGTGCTTGATTACATGTCATGATGTAGAGTCTCTCTTAGTAAGGTAGACAGGTCGCAGCTTATACCATCTTACCTTAGTCTCTCACATGTCTTCTGCAGCCGAGCAGAACAAACACTGAATCCACTAACACGAGCTGAGTCTAGCTAGCTGCTACACTTATCGCAAAGCTATGACCTGCGCGGTTATTACTTAGAGTTTACTTTAGCGCGGATAATGCAACCGTGTACGTCAGAAATTCTGCCAATGTTGTTTGTCCAGATGACCATCTGATTTCCACAGCTGCCAGGGTTCGTTCCTTCATCTGTTTTCCACAGGCCGTAGACACACGTTCGAGAGGATGAAGGATCGGGAGAGATGGATTAAAGTCAATTCGTATGCGTGGCTAACTCCCGCAAAGTAAACAATCATTCGTAAATGTTGTCCAACAAAATAAGCAGAGTCGTGTATATATAGAACGCCTGCATTCCATTCTGGAAAATAGTTTCATAAGACCATGAGCGCGTACATCAACACCAAAGACAACAAAGATCAAATGAATATCAAAACACCCCATGATAGACCGTTACCAAAAGGCTCATTAAATGAGGAATGTTGTCGCACAGCTTCGCACATATGCCAATGCCATTGAACGCAACAAAGGTATGGTGAGAAAGATGGAAGGGTCAAAGAAGCCAAAATAATCAGGATGGTCGTTGGGAAACTCCCCCCCGCCCCGGTAGGTGCAGACATTTCGAAGCTTCGTCATAATCCACCTAAACAATACCATTCGGGCGGCGGCCACGGGTTGATTCGATGCTGTCTCTCCTCATGGACGTGACCGAGAAACGTCTCGAAATGGCATTGTCAATCTCCACGTGGTCCACGTCGATGTGCTTCTTGGGCACCCAGATGACCTGGATTAGTCCGATGACGGCGAAGAGGGCACAGCTAAACCAGGCGGCAGCAGAACCAGCGAAACTGTAAATGATTCCCACGAGAGGCGGGGAGACAGTTCTCGCCAGACAGGCACCGGACATGGCTACGCCATTGACCTTTCCGAGGGCTTGCGAAGTGGGCGTCGCGTTCTTGATCAGGATCAGGGTAACGGGGCCAATGATGATGCCGTAGAAACTCTGCATGATGAGGGAGAACCAGATCCCAGCCTCGGTGAGGCTTTCAGGTAGGGCGGACAAGAAGGGCAGCAGCAAATACGCAGTTGGGTATACGATAATCATGGAAATGAAGGAGCCCCAAACACCGACGCGTTCTACAAAGATGGGGAAAATAAGACCCTGGATGAGCAGTCCAAGGACACCGTTGATGGCCAGATACACACCGACATCGTGGAGGGAGTATCCCAGACCGCCCCGGAAATCGAGTTGTCCGCGCGGATGCTTCTTGTCGGAAGGGTCGTCGAGCAGATACGTGGGCAATAGAGTACCGGCGGCCATCTGGTGGTACGAGAAGATGATGAAGGCAATGATAAGCATGACGACGGTCTTGTTGAACGTCTTGACCTTCTTCTGCCCCGTCGCCTGGGCACGCGAGTTCAGGAGGTGTTGGCGCAGGTCTTCAGGGATGACCTTGATTGAGTGTACCGTTCCAAAGGACGATCTCCTGAGGTCAAAGTCGTGCTCGAATGGCAAAGGCAAGCTCGATTCAGCGAAGCGCGGTCGCGAATGGCTAGTGGAAATGGAACGTCGCGGGTTGAAGGTCCGGATGGGTGCGCGGCGCAGGGGCGTGGTCTCATCGACGGCGTCATCATCGTCCACGGCGACGCTATTGCGACCGTTGTGGAGGTCATCGTCCTCCTCGAATTCGAGAGTCTCCTCCAAAAAGAAAGCACCCTGCAAGACGGCCAGGGAGATTGCTGCCATGGACACGAGATTCGGAAGCAAGTAGGGATTCCGGCCGAAAATGCCATCCTCAGAGAAGACCGAAGGGTAGTAGACGGCGGGTTGGGCGAGGAAACCGCCCATGGCAGAGCCAATAATGCCGCCCAGTGTCCATACGAAGGGTTGGACGGCGTAGGCCTTGGCTGTTTCCCCAACAAAAAAAAATCAGTACGCTGTCGTTCGCCGCAATTTGCGCCGATAATTACACCGGCATAGAGAGAGAGAGAAAGAGGGAGACTCACGCTCATGGTCGGGATTTTTGACCATTTCTGCCACCATGGTCTGCATGACGGAAACGTTGCCGTTGAGAGCGCCACCAACAAAACGGGCAAGTAGGGCAACCCAATACGTCTTTGCGAAACCAAAAATCAGACTCGAGATGGCGACACCGACGAGACCAAATAGCACGACTGGTTTGCGACCAATGCGATCGGACAGGGTTCCCCATCCCATTGAGGTGATGGCCTCGGCGACGGCGTAGGCGGAGATCAAAAGACCTGCGTAGAAACCGGCGTCTTCCTCCATGCCGAGATCCTTGACCATCTTATAGGTGTAGGCCAAGATAGAATTGAAGGCGATGGGCTCGGAGAATCGACATATCGCTATATGTTTGTGACGCGCGCGTTAGCCCACAGTCGCAGTGTGTTCCATTGAATGGCACTGGACAGCGCTGATAAGAAGAAGAGATTCCTTATCTGAGTTTGTCGAGAATGAGACGGAGGGGAAAGTTGGAAGAGAGAGGATGGGGATGGGCGTACCGAGAACGGCCAGTTGGCGCGTAGGAAATGCTTTGGGGTCTTTTCGTTTTGATGGAGCCATGGTGTGGTATCGTAGGTATCGTGAGAGTCTCCTTTGTCTGGATGTCTTGGTGTTTCTCCTACACTTCTCAGAGGTTGGAATGTTGGAGAGAGTAAGGTACGCAGAGTAAGGTTATGGGAGGAAAAGAAGAAAGAGGATCGGGATGACGATTTTGGCACCATGTAAATTACTGCGGGGTCGTGGAGAGAGGTTGGGGCCTTCCTTGGGGTGGGCTCTTGGCCTTTACAAGCTTGGGGGGCAGCTCAAGCCGCAAATCGCAGGGCAATGGGGAAGTAATGGCCTGGGGAGTGATAAATGGGGGGCAATGGAGGCAATGGGGGAGGCTTGGGAAAGGCAAGTAATTCCCGTCCGCTGCTCCGTACATAATACGCAGTAACGCAGGCAGGTGGATGACAGTAGTGACTTGCCTTAGCAGCAGCAGCAACAATTGCAGCAAGCACAGCGGGCAAGAAATAACGGCATTGGCGGCCCGCGACACCGCCCCACCAAAACGCATGCACCTCACCGCCTGACCGGTTCATGATCGGCGCTTGACCGTTGGCCACACACGTGCAAGCAGCAAGAAGCATCTCATCATCCTTACAGTAACAAGATCCTAACACACGCAGTACGAATACTTATCCCCTTCTTTGCCTCCCCACGTTCATCATCCCGATATCCATGCATGAGGTGTCGTCATGTTGGTGAAGCCTTGGAGATCCATCCGGCACGGCCACGTACAGTTAGTTGTCCTCAGTGGATAGGTATTTATTGTCCAAACCTCAGAACTTGGGGTAAGTAAACATTGAGTTTCCTTTGAGACCCCCGACCCAGAGAGCAAGACATGGCGGATTCGGAACTTAATCTGGGGAACTTGACTCAGGTCAGTGCACCCCGTAGTCTTATCCGTAGTGTAACCGTCGCACTTGGCGGTTATTGAAATACCTGCCGCTGCCGCCGCCCGCTTGAGGTGAGGTCATGCACCGTGATACCTACACCTACTTTGCTCCTGTACGTAGCAACACCACAGTTGATGATCTCATCCTGCAATTCGAATTCGCCCCCATTTCGAGCACCCATACATCATAACACAGCTCGCCTCAGTCGCCTCCACCACCCATTAGGTAGCAAAACCAATTGACCGACTTGATGTTAGCGCAAGCTCCTTTTCCCTTAGTTGACATGGACTAGCAATGAGGCTCGTCTCACGACAAAAGTAGTGCGACGCTCGGGACTGTCCTTTTTTTTGTCCTGCTCGAATCCGGCCTACCTTGGACAACGACAGGCCGGTCACCCACGGTCGGTAGTAAAGCAAACAAGCCTCAAATTCGAGTCTGCAATTGTGCCACTTTTCTTTTGTGTAAATTTCCGGAGCCGAACCTCCTGCCGTTTGGGGTCTACCTTGCCTTCCAACATGCTTAGGTCGACTGCCCGCACCTTGGAGCCTCCTTCTTGGACCTGCCAATTTGGAGGAGTTGGAGATCTCAGAACTGGCGGTGTGCTCACAATCTCACCAACTCCCCATCCCACAGGCAATCTCAATCTAAATCTACCTTGACTCCAAATTTAGCTTCCGAGCAATTGACCGCGCTAAATCTCAATCCAACTTACCTTAGACAGCTTAGGTCTGACATCGTCATGTTCTTGGACACCCTCCCCTGAAATCAACGCCATCATCTACCCAGTACTTACGTAGTAGTGCTCAGAATTCATTCAGCCAAGCGCGACGCGCCTTTTCTCCCCTCCAGCCAAATATTTTCCATATCAAAAGTGCTTACACCCCCGAAGCCGATTTAAGACTGAGACACCACCGAGTCGTTTTCCCTGTTCACTGGCAAACTGCCACAAGTTCTTTTGAGCTCATCACGGCGCAGCCTTCACGAGTTGACGCGGTTTCCCAAATGACAATGCTTCATACTCGCCGCCGACGATGTGAAAGCCACACAGGCTTTCAGGGCCTGGGAAGCTCATGCTTCGCCTTCCATAGCGATTCAGATTACCCATCAACAAGCAAAACCAGTGGATTTATGCGCGCTCTCTTGAGAGACGCAGGAGTTACCTCATTAGTATCTGTGTTCATCACACATGGAGTCGTCTCCCAGCCCAGTGTTTCACCGCTCATCACGCTGCAGCATAGTATACAACATTCTGTCCTTCCAAGCGACCTAAATGAGAAGGCCAGCGTCATTGCTAGCTGTGAATAGGCCTTCAGGCTCATTCATATGTCCGCGACTTGAGTGGCTTTCAAGTTCCATCGTCTGTGTTTTTGGAACTCGTAGACTGGGACACGACTCTGGGCTGGACGCGGACCCGAGAACAAGGAGTGTGGAATTCAATGAGCAAGCGATCAAGATATATGTTAAGGTCTCATTACCCTCCCAAGTCTGCCTTTATCGTCGTGGCTGTTTTCCCATTACCTGACATTAGATGCACACATCGAAGCACCGAAGCAGGTAAGCAGGTAAGCAACCTCCCGCGTGCTTCCGCCCAAAGGCCATACATACTTGGGGCGCCATCAGGAAACAGACCCTAGGGCCCCCTTCTTGAGCCTCAAGAAGAATATAGCCTCGCATCGCGTTAAGAAGGGTATGTACCAAAAGATACGAATGGAGCCCGGATCGTTCCAGGCATGATTCCCTTGAGTCAACACAACGAGTATTTGGTAACTATTGTTCAAGCACTGATTCCTACATATCTTCTGCGGTTTTTGCCAAAGACTGGACAAGGGTGCTGCCCCGATCTTGAACGGTTTAAAGGTTTGCGTCGATGGATGGATATTCTGAGCCGTTATCTGGACCTAGAATGGTTCGTCCCCAGTGAACCCCTTGACGGCGGACGCGCGCCGCTAGGCAGGGGCCCAGGGTGTTGGTGGGACAGATGGATAACGTGGGGGAGCAAGGGTTTGGGACATTGACGGTGACTCTTCAAAACCCCAGGCAAATCCATCCAAGAGCTTGGAAGGGTTCTCATCTATATCGGAGTGTGCCATTGCTAGACTTGACCTTGAAGCTTGAGAAGATAAAGAGGATCTAGTTTCAGTGGAACAGATGTTGAAATGATTCTCGAATCCCTTCAGTTTCAAGCAATGAAGAGTCGCATTTTCATGGACTCGTCTCGATGATAAGCTTTGCTCTTCGTCGAACGTAGATTTGTAACATGAGAGCCCCATCGCCTGCTCTACGGTCCCTGCTTTATTACCTGTCTCTATCCTTCGTCACCAAGTGATGGGTCCCCTTACTCCTTTGGTACGTTTGACCTTACCAACGCCCAATCCCTACATCGACTGCGTCGTTACACTGTCTTTCGGAAAGCGTTTACCTGCCGATGTAATCAAGACGCAACTATTCTATTGAAGCAATGTCTAGATGCACACGTCTAACCCAAACCTTGCTCCCCGCTGTGCCCTTATTGAGGAAGTTCATGAGCACAAAAGCCGGTATAACAATGGCCGACCTAGCACAAACCTTGCCGCTTCCAAACCACGACCTAACATCCTCCATGGTCTATTACCTGTGACCAGAGCCTTCTACTGTCGCCAAAGAAAGACTTGAGGCCTCGCTGCATGGTTGGGATTTGAGTCACTCGACTCTCTGTCACCTCGGATTCCGAACTCTATCGTACTCAGTCCAATGTTGTGCAGGGATTTCCCAATGTTTGTGTCCTCGAACTACTTTTCACTACCGTCTGTATCCCCATGGAAAAGGGAGAAAAAGATTAGCAAGTCTCTTGTGTTCTGTTCGAGAGAACCAAGAAACCTCACTGGTGCTTGTAAGGGCGTCTGCCGAGTTTAGTTTGCTGCCAAAGCCCAGAACAGAACTCCTCAACACCAAAGATTGTGAACCCACGAAAGTATCTCTCGATGAAGACCTTTGATTATGGCGAAGACACCGGGATCCAAAGACTCTGACTACGAAGCCAAGTTGTGAATGCCCATCTTAAAGTACAATAATTAGATCTAGCTCTATTGCTTCCCTCCCATTCATTGCAGTTCACATCCAAGCGAGCACACAATCAACAGATATGAGAATCGCAACGAGTCTGAAACTCAACCGATCAGAGCCCGATGACCTCTCCGTCGAACCACCTCTCTCAAACATCTGCCGACGCGCTCCCCACAAGGTCCTCGTGCTGTCCTTCATGGAGGACCTCTCACTCTTCGCCATGCTGACCATCACCGCCAACGCCCTCGCCCTCGCAAAGGACGACCTCGCTATCAACCTCACCATAGGCCCTCGCCTCCCACGCCCACTACGCCTGGGGCGGCTCCGCGTTCCGGGCCGAGCGCGATAGGAAGATCATCGGCAGCCGCGCTGGGAGGGCGATGTTGAGGCCGAAGCATTTTGCACCGGCCACAAGCAGGCCTGCTGAAGACGCTCGGCTGATCCAGCGCATTGAAGGCTTCTCGCGGTCTGAAGGCCACGAAGACCTGCTGCTCGCGACCTGCTCGTGGCCGTTGCCTAGAGGTATGTATGCTTGAGATTCGCTGTCTCGTTGATATATGAGACGTCTGACCGACCAGATTTCCACAGCGACTACTGCCGAATCTTCACATCAACTTTGACGAAGCCAATTTTCTTCCCTCGCATGTAAAATTTTCAAATCTTTGCCATCGAGTCGGCGGCATCCAAGGCGATGTCGACAAAGCAAGAGGTGGACCAAAACGACAATAACCTGAACACGAAAACAAATATAGACTCCCATTGTTTCCTCTTCTCGTAACAGGCTACTTGCCGCCGATGAGACTCAGGATATCGTCTTTTGTTTCAAAATTGTAGAGGCGATGGAGGAAAGGACCTCTCGACGCCTTTTGCATATGTTTGATAGTGATCGGGCCTCAAGTTGTATGCTCCCCGTCTCCGCGAGATGACAAGGGGTGGACAGTCGGTACCTATATGATTGAGACGGTCGTCTCGGTGAAGGAGCAATGGCTTCCCGAGAATGGGCATTATATCTTGTCTGCTAGCAACGTAAAGTGCCGGCTGGCTAGTGCGGATTGTCTAGCATCTCCATGATGTTTTGCGAGCCTATACCGAGTTTCACAGAGATGGGTTCGAGCAGCCTCTGCGACAAGATCAACACTCGAGTCAAGAAAGAGCGGATACTATATCTTGCGTTGAGCACACGGGCGACAGCAGAGCCCGAGCTTGAGCTGTCACGGCACTTAATGTGACAAGATTCCAGGATCTGAAAAACCTGATAAGCCGGTGCATTTCACATGGGCCATGCTACTAGGCAGGCAATTCTACTCATCAAGAGTGACCATCAAGTATTTACGATGGGCGAATGTATGTACGCTCAATCATTGCGGTCCCCCTCACGTGCCCGTAGGCCGAGGGGCACCGCACCCAAGATTGTTCGCTTCCTTCTCCATTTCGATCTCCGTGTCCGATGGTCCTGGGTCCAGCAAAAGAGCGAACCTCTCAACAGACAATTGTTTTCACGAGAACATGAATGTTTTATTTTGCGTTGTTCAATAATGAAGAAGAAAGGAGGAAAACAGAGTAAAGATGCGCTGCGTAGGCCGCGTTTTGTAGTGCGCCGCAAGAATTTTTTGGCAGGGTCCGTGCCTCAGGCAGCCAATCAACACAACCCGACTGGACGACCCAAATGGGCGGGCACGAGGAAGACTGGGAATGAAAGGAAAGAAGGGTCCTTCCTTTACGGTGCCCCCCTGCCTTCCAAGTGTTTGACACCCGCGGCCGGTCTTCGGCAAGCTGCGCTCCCCAGTGGGTCGGCTGCAACGACATGCCGTCACTGGGTGCTAGTCATTCCCAATCTCCCGCCCGTGCTGCTAGCACCAAGATAATCTCCCCTGGGATTGGGGATTGGAGATTGCTTCTCCAAACACCAACACAACAAAACCACACATACACACAAGATGGCCAAACCGACAGCAATGGCCGTAGACGCCCTTCCGAGGTTCCTGCTTCCTAGACTCAGCTGGACTGGTCCTGCGACAGCATCCCAAGCCCTACGGCCTGTTTCGGCACTCCCTCCGAGCTCGCGCCGTCGGATGCACACCCGAACCAGTGCTTTCCACGATTCGAATTTACCATCCAGATGCCGCAGCAATGGCTTCAAGACCGAGCGCGCCTCTATACTGGCGAGCCCGGGCCTCACGAGGTCCTTCCATGCGACTCCTTCAAGGCAAAGAGACCACCACTTTGATACCTTGAAGTTCGTCCAGCGGATGAAGAGCGAGGGCTTCACGGAGGTGCAGGCCGAGGCCACGATGAAGGTCCTGAACGATGTAATACAAGAAAGGTATGCGACAGCGCCCTTGGTTAGCATATTTATCCCTTCTGACAGCAGAGCAGCATACAGAACCTCACCCGAACCATGGTCCTCCGCGAAGACGCCGCCAAGGCAACCTACACGCAAAAGGTCGACTTTGCCAAGCTGCGCTCCGAACTCCTGTCCGCCGACAGCACCGAGTCGAGCACGACGCGCGCGTCCCACGAGAAGCTCGGCAACGACATTGCGAAGCTGAGCTCCCGGCTGCGGGACGAGATCGGCAGGACGCAGGCCAGTGTCCGCCTGGACCTGAACCTGGAGAAGGGTCGCATCCGCGAGGAGGCTGTCGGCCAGGAGCTCAAGATCAAGGAGACGGAAACAAAGATTGAGCAGGAGGTGGCGGCGCTGCGCGAGAAGCTTGAGCAGGTCAAGTTCCAGACGCTGCAGTGGCTGATGGGAGTGTGTACCGGTTTCGCCGCTCTGCTTCTTGGTGCCTGGAGGTTGCTCATGTAAACGGACCCGACTCCTGGGCTCGGCATTGGCACATTGTCGCACATCGCCGGCGGCGTTTCCAGAGTCAAGTGGAATATGCCAATGCACTTTGAGAATGCAACATGCAGTATCCACGTAAGAGGACGTTCATCCCATCTTACCTTTGTTCGCAGCTGCCCTGCAGATCCCAGGTCTCATGACCAGGCAGCTTGCTCGAATATTGTACGAAAGTCCTTATATGCACTTGCCAAATAGATGATTGGGTAAGAAACCCTCCAGTAAAAGGAGTTCACCATCATATAAGACATTTCTCCCGAATCACACTTTCCTTCCGCCGAAACCTTTCTTCTAGCTTCTTCCAAACCCCCGTTTTCTCTACCCCGTCTACCCATGCACATCTCCCGAGCTTTGAATATGTCAGCATCACCAAGATCCCAAGATGAATCCCACTATGGGTTTTCCATCTTTCCCTCGTGCCTTTCGATGATTCTGTAGAGATCACATCAGTCATGCCTCCCAATTCTGTGAATCGAGCAACACCATCAACGATATGGATATAGAACCTGAAGACCCGATGACCTACGGCTGGGCCTTCGGCGCGTACGAGAGAGTTGGCCCGGATACAGGGGCTTTGAAGCTCAGCGGAGCTTCTTTTGACGTCAAGGTAAGTCTCTCCCGCTAGTTTCCATATCGAAATCGCATCTGACTCGCTTCGTAGACGTCTCCCGGTCATATGGAGAACACATACGTTGGTCACCTCTCATGGCTAGTGCAAGTCGATCATATCTACGGAATACCTTAGTCGCGTGTCAACTGATGTTTCTCAAAATCTTGTTTCCGCATAATGCCGAGCACCTCACAATCTACTTCACGTCAGCTACGGAGAGGATTCGCTTTACTATTCTGGAGCCCATCGTCAGCACAGAATTTTCGTAACTTTACCATTTTTAGCCTAGGACGAGACCCTTGGAAGAAGGAACAGCCGCTGCCTCGCGAGTACGAGTTTCTAAGTGAAGATGCTGATGCCTCTGGCCTCATCATGAGCTTACTCGTGACGGGAACCTTCCCTAAACATCCGCATGCCAGTGTTCGATCGGCGTCCGACATGACTACCGAATTAATCTACGCCGGCGAATTGTCATTTAAGCTCGGTCTTCGCTGTATCAAGCGTTTCCGCTGCGCTGTATCTCTTCACTTGCGACAGTTGCTGCTAGAGGACCGAACAGCGCTGCTCGAAAGGCACATTACAAGCCTGTACAAACTCCTTGCCCGGCGTAAACTTTGCGCCCTTTGGGGGTTCAGACAGATGTTTGCGCAGGCAATGGTCAAGCTTGGTTGCGTCACTTGGACATCAGCCCAGTCGAGCCCGTGGACCTTTGCCCAGGCTCCGCCAAATTTGACACCATATGGGATGGTGATGACCCGGAGGAGTGGTCGATTATCGTCAAACATTGCCTTAGCCTTATAGGCCAGAGCGAACGTTTCAAAGCCGATGTTAGGTGGTACATGATCCAGACGCTTGAGAATAGAACGAAGTTCAGCTCGGTTATCGCAGGTGAGTTGAGTTCGTTATTCTCAAAAATCTACCAGGCACTAATAGCACCATCGACTAGAGGCATCCCGCCACCCTGTTACTCTACTAATCCCGGGCAGCCCACTCCCACCTGTCACTTGGAGCTTTGTCACCTACCGCTACAGTGTTCCCCTCGTACCTGCTGGAAGCAAAGTGAAGGCTCAACGCTTTACTACGACGGAACTTTCGCGAAGTGGCTGACCCCGGTCTAGTGACGGTCCTGACCAACCTCGGTTTGCTCTATGGTTCGGGCACATGATTTTGCTGTGAAGTACCGTTCATTCATAAAGATGCCGACGAAATTGTAGTCGGCATGGCAATTTGAGATACGAGTCATCAATTGAGCTTGGAGTCGAGATGTTCCGCAAAGAAAGGGCGGATGGTGAATTGCGTTGAGTTTGCGAATGTGACAGAATTCTTGCAAGATGATTGAAATCTGGGCAAGTAATTTTCAGTGAAGTAGATGACATGACTCTGAACACCACATCTACAGACTTCTCACACTCCCTTGCCTTGTGTGCCTAGTACATCAGTACTCATTACCTTGCCATACTGCGTATGTGTTCATGATCCGGGACCCAAAAAAGGCTCCCGGGCTAAGGTAGGCTAGTCGGGTCGCCGGACACGGGAGGTGATTAGTCGCTTATGTCATCCCGCATCCGGTCAAACATGCCTCCGCTCAGGAACCTGGAAACGGACACCATAGCAAGATAGCCACGTGACAGGCCCATGGCCATCCAGCCAGTGAAGGTTGAAGAGACAAGTGCACGGTCCAGATGGGTGGATACTTGGCTGAAGACAGCAAAGACCGGCAGGAGCAAGCAAGCCTGGCACGCCTGGCCAGCAAGGCAAGCAGTGAGGGTGGAAAGCTGGCAGCAAACCACAGACTTTAGGCGTCGCGCACCTGGCTCAGTGCGCAACAACCTGGCACTGGACTGGCAGGAACGAACCGAACAGGCAACGTAAGGTACTGCACCTAAAATAATCTCCAACCTTCCACCTCACCACAAGCGAACTACGTATCCCGTACCCATCTTTCCCATTCCCATTCCTCCCACCACCACCACCACCGCCGCCCCAAACAAAACACCACCATCACCGTTTGCCCAGCAGATTGTCATCACTGCGAGGTGCATCTTTACCCCGTCTTTACGTCTCCTCTTTACCGCTCTTTGTTTCCCTGTATTAATTGCCTTGTGCGCATTCAGTCGGGTCGCAAGGAAGCTATCCCCAGCTCCTACTCCTTTCTCTCCCAAATACACGACATCCACGTCGCCGTATCCACGAAATCCCGCGACACCCGATCAGCTGCGCGATTCGAATCCGCGAACTGACACAACCCAGCTAAGGAGCGCAACTTGGTCTCTGGAAGCTTCTTGTCACACATAACGCCAGTCATGGCGCCACTACCGATCAAGTTCCAGGAGCTGATCCAGCTTCAGACTGCCGGTGTCGAGGACGCTTCCATCGGCTTCAACTCCTGCGTGAGCCATCACCGCCCGACCATCTCCCTGCTCAATGGCATCATCATGACTGACTTGTTCTCTTCCAGACACTCGAGTCAGACTCTTATGTCTGTATTCGGGAAAAGAAGAACGAAGCTGCTCAACCCGAAGTTGTCATCGTCGATCTCAAGAACGGCAACAATGTCACACGGCGCCCCATCAAGGCCGACAGTGCCATCATGCACTGGACTCGTCAAGTAATCGCCCTCAAGGCGCAATCGAGAACACTGCAGATCTTCGATCTTGAGAAGAAGGCCAAACTCAAGTCTACCACAATGAACGAGGACGTCCAGTACTGGAAGTGGATCAGCGAGACCACTTTGGGCCTGGTTACAGATTCAGCAGTCTACCATTGGGACGTCTACGACCCCAGTCAGGCCCAGCCTGTCGAGGTCTTCAAGCGCAATGCTAACCTCAACGTGAGTGCAATGCTTCCTCTATCCTCCGCATGTCACCGAACTGTCTACTAAATACTATCAACCAGGGTTGCCAAATCATCAACTACCGAACCAACGCCGAGGGCAAGTGGATGGTGGTTGTTGGTATCTCGCAACAGCAGGGCCGCGTCGTCGGCGCTATGCAGCTGTACTCCAAGGACCGTGGCATTAGCCAGGCCATTGAGGGTCACGCTGCGGCCTTCGGCTCGCTGCGCCTGGAGGGTGCTCCTGCTGACACCAAGCTCTTCACCTTTGCTGTGAGAACCGCTACCGGCGCGAAGCTTCACATCGTCGAGGTCGACCACGCCGAGTCAAACCCCGTATTCCAGAAGAAGGCCGTCGACATCTTCTTCCCTCCCGAAGCCGTCAGCGATTTCCCCGTGGCTATGCAGGTGTCGCAGAAGTACGGTGTCATTTTCATGGTCACCAAGTACGGATTCATCCACGTCTACGACCTCGAGACCGCCGCCTGCATCTTCATGAACCGAATTTCCAGCGATACCATTTTCACCACCTGCCCCGACAACGAGTCTCGCGGTATTGTGGGCATCAACCGCAAGGGTCAAGTGCTCTTCGTTTCGATCGACGACGCCAACGTTATCCCCTACCTCCTTCAGAACCCGGCCAACACCGATATGGCTATCAAGATGGCATCACGAGCTGGCCTCCCCGGTGCTGATAATCTGTATGCTCGTCAATTCGAGCAGCTCTTCAACAGCGGTCAGTTCATGGACGCTGCCAAGATCGCGGCCAACTCTCCCCGACAATTCCTTCGAACCGCCGAGACGATCGAGAGATTCAAGTCGCTCCCCCAGCAACCTGGTCAAATGTCCTTTGTCCTGCAATACTTTGGCCTCTTGCTCGACAAGGGAGCCCTGAACGAGCACGAGTCTATTGAGCTTGCACAGCCCGTTCTCGCTCAAAACCGTCTCAACCTGTTGGAGAAATGGCAAAAGGAGGGCAAGTTGACTGCGTCCGAGAGACTCGGTGATCTTGTCCGTCCTCACGACCTGAACATGGCTCTCACTCTTTATCTCAAGGCCAACATCCCTCACAAGGTTGTTGCTGGCTTTGCCGAGACGGGTCAATTCGAGAAGATCCTGCCCTATGCCACCCAGGCCAACTACCAACCCGACTACGTCCAACTCCTCCAGCACATCGTTCGTGTCAACCCGGAGAAGGGTGCAGAGTTCGCCACAGCCTTGGCTAACAACGAGGGCGGTTCCCTAGTCGATATCGAGAGAGTGGTCGACATCTTCCAGTCTCAGGGCATGATCCAGCAAGCTACGGCTTTCTTGCTGGATGCGCTCAAGGATAACAGACCTGACCAGGGTCACCTTCAGACTCGTCTCTTGGAGATGAACTTGATGAATGCTCCCCAGGTTGCCGATGCTATCCTTGGAAATGACATGTTCTCTCACTTTGATAAGACTCGCATCGCGACACTTTGTGAACAGGCCGGTTTGGCCCAAAAGGCATTGGAGCTCTACGAGGACCCCGCTGCCG